TGTTTCAGTCATCTGAGGAACCAAAATTTTATACACAAGGAAAATGGGAAAGAAATGCTTTTAAAAAAATGCCCCACGCCAGTTTCCCTGGCCTCAATCACAGCTCCTGAAACGGAAGGTGATATTCATTCCCCGCCTCCTGGAATGGGCTTCCTGTGCTCCAGCACTGAGGGCGCTGCACATGGACTCGGCACAGGGGCAGTGACCTGGAGCTGTGGCTCCAGAGATACACCCGAGTACCAGCAGCTGTACCCAAAGACTGGCATGCACCCTCTTTTTTGGGACAGATGGTCTAGGAAGATACCTACTCCTGCAGCACACACACTTCTCTGGATAAAAAGGTTTTTCCTTTCCTCTCAAAATATTTTGTAACCAAATTGAGATTTATGTTTTGACCAAGAAATAGGATGTAGAATCAGGAGCTTTGAAGAACAGTTACTTTCCAAGAACTGTTTTGGAGACCCAAGAAAATTCCAAATGTAATCAGGAGATCACACTGAGAGCTTCAGAATATTGATACGAACCAGCAGGGAGGACGGCAGTCCCATGTCTCCTTGGAAACCAGGGAAGTCCATGTGGGCTATCTGAGGACAGGGGTAATCCTGTTTGGGTATCTGTTAATCCAATGATTAAAGCAAGTTCACCAGGAAAATGATCCAAGGCGACAGGACATGCATTGGCCAGAACTGACTCTGAAGGGAGAAGGAAGCAGGAGGACACCCCGCGCACACACGTGGGGTGCAGTTGGCACTGCCTGTGCTGCCTTCCCCGCTGAGGTATGGACGGTCAGAGCTAGTAGTGTTGTTTCCCACAGAATGGAGGCAGCAACCCACCTCTGCTAAGTGGCTGCAGAGGCAGCGTCATTTGTTGTGGAGAAAGATTAATTATTATTAACTAGATGCCCAGTGCATGAAATTCATTCACGGGAGTGGGGGTTCCCTCAGCTTGGCCTGCACCCTCTCCAATCTGGGACCCTTCATGGGATGTCTGACTGCAGGTTTAGGCCTGGGACCCCTCAGGGGATGTCTGACTGCCAGTTTAGGCCTGACCCAGCAGTCCAACATTTCTTTTGCAATATGGGACTGCTGACTCCTAATTGCTCACCTGTATGCCTGCCTGATGGCCCCTAACCCCTCTGTTTGCCTGCCTGATTGCACCTATCCGCCTCTGCCTTGGCCCCCACCACCGTGCCTTTGTCTAGAAGGAGGACCAAATGACCAGAAGATGTCTGGTTGACTCAGTCTAAGTAGCATATTACCCTTTTATTAGTATAGATACTGTTTCATTGTATGGGTATACCACATTTTGTTCATCCATCCATCCATCCATTGATGATGGATTGTTACCAACTTTTGGCTGTTGTGAATAGTGCTGCTATATACATTTGTGTACTTGTTTAAATATCTATTTTCAGTTCTTTTGGAATATACCTAAAAATACTGTGTCATACAGAAATATATGTTTACCCTTTTGAGAAACCACCAAACTGTTTTCCACTGTCACTGCACCACTTTACATTGACAGCACTGTATGAAGATTTTTCTAAAGATTTTATAGTTGCATAGTTTACACTTAAGACTTTGATTCGTTTCAAATTAATTTCTCTATGGGATGTAAGGTTTAGATCAAAGCCCCCCCTCTTTTTTTTTTTTTTTTTTTTTTTTTTGCCTTATTGATATCCAATTCCCTCAGTGAGAATGTAGTTTTTAAAAATAAGTATGCCATTTAAAAGGATGTTTGGTAAAGTATTTGAATGAATGAATGAAAAGAGAAGTCCTCTCAGTTACCTCTAGTCCTAGAATATTTCAAGTATTTTTGGAAACAGATATTCCTCTTGCACAGAACTGGAATCCCAAGTAGCTATCCCTTTCTGTTCCCTTTATCACTTCATTGCTAGGCCAAGTAGCTATCCCCTTCTGTCTCCTTTCTTAGTTCATTGCTGGGCTGCGGGGAGTTTGGTTAGCTACCCTTCAGTGCTCTCTTCTTAACTTTAACTGCAGTTACTAGTAAAGCTGCTACCCTTGAGCTTAGCTATGGGAATCCTCTCTTCTGCCTTCTGCCCCAACTGCTTTTGGTCTGTAATATCTTTGGAGTGACATAACTGTGCAAGTCTATTTTCTTCTATCATTTAACAAACAGGAGAGGAAACTATCAAAAAGCACATACTATTTAAGTAATAAATTTCCAATTGTGATAAACATATCATTTATAGATATTTTTCTCTTAAAGAAATGTAAATGTTAGAACCAATTTCAATGGTATCAGATACTGCAAATACATAGGCTCCTTTCTGACTATTCTGGACTTTTATAAAGAAATTTCATCTACTGTGAGGCTTATTTACTGGGCACTTTAGAGTCCAATATTATAGAAGGTTATTGATTTCAAAGTTTTATGTAGGGTCTTCTTAACAATGAAAATCTTTTATAAAATAAAACGTACACTTTATTTAACAAACCAGAGGCCCTGGTACACAAAATTTGTGCTTGGGGGGCAGTCCCCTCAGCCCAGCCTGCACCCTCTTGCAATCCGGGACCCCTTGAGGGATGTCCCACTGTTCGGGCCTAAACCAGCAGTCAGCCATTTCTCTCGCAATCCGGGACCACTGTCTCCTAACCACTGGCCTGCCTGCTTGATCACCCCTAACCACTTGCCTGTCTGCCTGATCGCCCCTAACCACTTCTGCCTTGGCCCCTGCCGCCTCGGCTTTGTCTGTAAGGACATCTGGAAGGTATTTCGGCTGTCTGGTCTAATTAGCATATTACCCTTTTATTGTTTGGCACCAAGCCCAGACCTGAGACCTTGAAGCTCGGTGGTTTTCTGACTAGTAAAACTGTAATACAGTTTTATTTATGTGTTTTACACTTTACCTTCAGGATTTAAGTAGATTCTATTTGGTCTAGTCATGTGTATTCTGAGCAGTGGTCAGACCACATGGGACATGGCATATTCATTCATTCATTTTAGCTCTACTGTGACTTTATTTTTTTTACAGGCTTAATTTTAATACAACTTAATTTCAGCGATGAAAAAGGGGTGTTAAGTTCTTGATTGTGGAGATTCATTTTGAGAATCTTTTTTATATATGTATTTTTTTTCTTCTTTTTAATATATATATATATTTTGTTGATTTTTTACAGAGAGGAAGGGAGAGGGTGAGAGTTAGAAACATCGATGAGAGAGAAACATCAATCAGCTGCCTCCTGTACACCCCCCACTGGGGATATGCCCGCAACCAAGGCATATACTCCTGACTGGAATCAAACCCGGGACCCTTGAGTCTGCAGGCCAACACTCTATTCACTGAGCCAAACCGGTTTCAGCAAAAATTATTTTTTATTATTAGTAATTTATTTTTAATCCTCACCTGAGGATATTTTTCCATTGATTTTTTAGAGAGAGTGGGAGAGAGAGGGAAAGACAAAATCATTGATGTGAGAGAAATACCGATTGGTTACCTCCCACAAACACCCTGACCAGGGCCTGGCCCAGGGAGGAGCCTGCAACCGAGGTACATGCCCTTACCAGAATCGAACCCTGGACCCACTCTTTGGTCCGAAGGCCGAAGTTTTATCCACTGAGCCAAACCGGGTAGGGCTGTTTTTTAATATTTATTAAAAACTCCCATTTAAGGAAAGAAACCACATGTAGGGATCTTTCTATAAGCTTTTTCTTTTTAAAAATATATTTTATTGATTTTTTTACAGAGAATAAGAGAGAGGGGTAGAGAGTTAGAAACATCGATGAGAGAGAGAGAAACATCAGAAACATCCATTAGCTGCCTCATGCACACCCCTACTGGGGATGTGCTGCAACCAAGGTACATGCCCTTGACCAGAATCAAACTTGGGACCCTTCAGTCTGCAGGCCGATGCTCTATCCACTGAGCCAAACGGTTTTGGCTATAGAAGCTACTTTTTAAGAGCTTCTTGCTTTTATCATTTTTCTTTGAATTAATTTCATTTGATCCTTGACAATGTGCCAAGAATGGAGAGAAATAGAGAGTTAGAAACATCAATGGGAGAGAAACATTGATCAACTGCCTCTTGCACATCCTTTATGGGGATGTGCCAACAACAAGGTACATGCCCTTGACTGGAATCGAACCTGGGACTCTTCAGTCCACAGGCTGACGCTCTATCCACTGAGCCAAACCGGCCAGGGCTCAACCATTTCTTATAGATCAACTATCAAAGCTACATGATTTTTACCTGATTAAGAATTGTTTTTAAAATAACAGAATTTCTGCCTCTCAAAATGTCTTCTGTGTCAGTTAACTCAGTAGAATTTTGTTTAATCTTTTTAAAAATTATATTTCTACTAGAGGCCCAGTGCACAAAATTTTGTGCACTGGGTGGGGTCCCTCAGTCTAGCCTGTGCCCTTTCACAGTCCAGGAGCCCTTGGGGGATGTCCGACTGCGGTTAGACCTGCGGGGAGTGGGCCTATGCCACAGTTGGACATCCATAGCACTGCCACAGAGGCAGGAGAGGCTCCCGCCACCACCCCTGAGCTCACCAGCTGTCAGCCCGGCTTGTGCTTGAGCGGAGCGCCCCTTGTGGGAGCATACTGACCATCGGGGCAGTTTTGTGTTGAGCTTCTGCCCTCTTGTGGTCAGTGCACATCATAGCAACCGGTCATTCAAGCAACTGGCATTCTGCCATTCAGTCAATTTGCATATTACCCTTTTATTATATAGGGTTGATTTTAGGGAGAGAAAAGGAAAGGGATAGAGAGATAGAAACATCCATGAGATAGAAATATCAATCAGCTGCCTCCTGCATGCCCCCTATTAGGGATCAAGCTCACAACCCAGGCATGTGTGCTGAGCAGGAATTGAATCTCAACCTCTGATTCATGGGCCAACCACAGAGCCATGCTGGCTGGGCTAACTCAGTATAATTGAGTTATTCTCAAGCATTATTGCAATATGAAAAGGGAAGATGTAAATTTTTAAAAAGTAACTCAGTTAAATTTATGGTATTTCACCATTTGTTGGTAGGACTTTGTGCCGTTGTATCAAGATTTTGAAAACTTCTATACAAGGAACCTCTACATGAGGATTAGAGACAACTGGAATCGACCAATCTGTAGTGTGCCTGGAGCCAGAATGGACATCATGGAGAGAGAGTCTCATGATTATAACTGGTCATTCAGGTAAGTCTTCTTTGGGAAATTATTTCCTAACAACAGAAAAAGGAATTTTTTGACTTTTTAAAATATTATATTGCAAATTTGACAGTATTTTGTCAAAACAGCAGTAGAAGCTGAAAATATAGTACAACATGATTAGTTTCCTTGCATATTGTTCATTGTTATTGGGATATTTAAAATACATTTTTTTATTAGTTTGATACTGTGTTGGGTTATAGTTGAAAGCAAAATTTGACCTATTAAAACAAAATAAGCCTTAGCTGGTTTTGCTCAGTGGATAGAGCATCGGCCTGTGGACTGAAGGATACCGGGTTTGATTCCGGTCAAGGGCACATGCTTGGGTTTCGGGCTCCATCTCCATTAGGGGGCATGCTGGAGGCAGCCAATCAATGATTCTCTCTCATTGATGTTTCTATTTCTCCCTTTCCCTTCCTCTCTGAAGTCAATAAAAATATATTTTTTTTAAAAAACAACCAAAAATAAAAAGCAAACAAAACACACACACACACACACACACACAAAGAAAAACTGTCCTTTCTATTTTACTACTTACCAGAATCAAATATCTGAATTTATTTCTGGATATTTTGATTTCTCAAATGATTCAAGGATATGTAGTGTTTTTACTTAAATGGATTCAGTAGTTTAGAAAACTTGATATTTATTAAACTTACTTTTGTTGTTTAGATTGCTCAAGTATTACATAATTACATTGCTATTAAAAAAAAAAGACAAGCAATAAGATAAATTGAAAGTCTCCCATGAAAACTAACCATATACCTTTTCAAATCCACTGCCCTACTAATCCTCACTCCCCAGAGGTAACCATTGTTATCAATTTGTAGTGTGTTATTCCGCCAGATATTTCCTGTGGGATATGTATATGATGTATCTATTAGGATTACCCACAGTTTTTGATTTACAAAAATGGTATCATACTGTAGAAGAGATATTGCATCTTGTTTTTTACTGGCTAACATATCAGTAACGTATTCTACAATATTGATGTATATAGTGTACACATGCTGGTTGGGCTGCATCATCCTGTGTTGAAAACTCCAAAGTCTCAAGTTAAAAGATTGGCAATTTATTTCTTGTTCATATGTAATGTCCATCTTAAGTTAGATGGGTCTCTGAACCATGTCGTCTGCACTTGAGGGGTCAGACGGTCTGAACTTCCACAATTAGGAATATCACTGGTTTGTGTGCCTGGGAAAGGGACATGGTCAGTTGTATAGTGACTCTTTCTTTTCCTTTGGTTAATCCTTACTGAATGATATCATTTCATGGATAAGTACTGCCAAACTGCCCTCCCCCCAAAAAAGTACTCTGATATTCTTATCTACAATGTATGAAATAGTCCTGGCTAATACTGGCTATGGTCAGTTTTTAAATCTTTATTATCATTATTGATAAGCAAAAATTGGTATTTTAACTTTCATTTATTTCATTTAATTGGTAGTGAGTTTGAGCTATTTTTAATTTAGACCATATTCTCTCCATTTTCTATATATGTTGCTTCCTTTGGTATTACAGTACATTTATTATCATATGTAAGTATTAGACCTTGTTCATGGGTTTCATGAACTTTCATCCTATTGAAATACAGGTACACAGGGAATACAATTAAAGATGTTATAAACATGGGTTCCTACAACTATCTTGGATTTGCACGGAATACTGGATCATGTCAGGAGGCAGCTGCCAAAGTCCTAGAGGAGTATGGAGTTGGCGTGTGCAGCACTCGGCAGGAAATTGGTGAGTGTAGGCTCTTTGGCTAACTGATGTTCTTAACTTTTTTACTCAGGAGGGAGTAATATGGATAGAGTATGTGTCCAAATACATACTTTGCCATGTAGTTTAGATCAGATAAAGAATGCTTTATTTTTTTGAATTAATGGATGATTTTAATGCTTTCAAAACATCTGAGACGTATTTATCTCTTCCATTATGTTATACATACAGAGTATGTTCCTATTGTTTTACTTATAACTTTAGTGTTGACTTTATTGATTTTTGCAAATGATAGCTCATTAAAGAGCACCACTTCATATCTGAGCCTGTGGACATATGGAGGTTAACCTATTTCTGTATTGGTAATTTGGAGCTAATAATAATGCCCACCTTATAGGACTGTTATAAGAAGCTAATTCATGCAAAGTGCTTGTAACATGGTAAATACTCATTAAGTGCTAATTTTTTTTATGAGTAGTACAAGTCTATAAAGATAACAAATTTATGTAAAGAGATTTATTTAGTTAAAAGGAAAATTACAAATTCTTCCATTTTGTTCCAGCGACTGATAACCATAGAAGTTATAAGGCATCGTTCTGGATATTTATTACTGTGAAGCACATCAAAACTTAGTGGATTAAAACAATTCAGCACAGCCAGTGTGGCTCAGTGGTTGAGCATGGGCCCATGAACCAGGAGGTTATGGTTTGATTACAGTCAGGGTGCATACCTGGGTTGTGGGTCAGGAAAACAGTGTTAGCCAGTTTGATGGAGACTCAAATATGGTGTACACCTACCAGTTCTGTGGGTTAGGAATGGGGTGGGTCTCAAAAAAGGAACAATGGCTTCTGCCAGCAGTTCTGTCTGGAAGAAAGCTGCCCCTCCAGGACTTGCCCTGATGCCAGACAGTTCAGTTCCTCCCTTTGTTTCCCTGGTGCCTTTTGAGCTGCTGCCCCAATGCTGAAACCCAGAGTGTATGAATCAGAGCAAGTCTATGCATGGACCCTTTATGAGGAACTGCCTAGGATTCCAGCAGCCCTCCATCGCACTCAGCCACAGTCGACACTGGCTTTTCTCCCTTGAAGTTATGGGGACTTCTCTTCCTGGCACTGGAACCCTGGGCTGGAAAGCTGGGCTGAGGGCTGGGGCCCCTCACTTCTCAGAGGGGACCTCCACAGTTTAGATATCCCTCCTGATTTAAAAAAAAAAAAAAAAATTCTTTATTGTTTAAAGTATTACATATGTCTCCTTTTCTCCCCATTGAACTCTCCCCGGCCATTCCCACTCCCTAGCACATGACTCAGCCCCCTACTCTCTGTGACCATGAGTTATGCTTATACTAGTATACTAGTATGCATGTGCACAAGTCCTTTGGTTGCTCTCTTCCATCTCCCCTCTCCAACCAGTCTCAATGTGCTTTTAAAAAAATATTATTAGTTGTAGGTTTTTCCTTCAGCTAGATTTCAGGCAGTAAAGTAATGAATGATTCTTAAATTTTGGCTTTGGTGATATTGACTTCATTAATTTCTTCACACAGGAAATCTGGACAAGCATGAAGAACTAGAAAAGCTTGTGGCAAGTTTTTTGGGAGTAGAAGCTGCTATGGCATATGGCATGGGATTTGCAACAAATTCAATGAACATTCCTGCTCTTGTTAGCAAAGTAAGACTTAGTCTGTCATTAATGAAGACTCCCTGTATGTATCATATTTGGTTTTATAAAATATTCAGAGTAAGCCAGGAACTATTGTAAATTTAGGTTAAATATAGTCTGCCCAAAGATATTTCTATCTCAAACTTTTGATAAGTATGTTCCATGGAGACTTACATCAATTGAAGCTTTCTTATTACAACCCATGATCCCTTCCTCTCCCATTAGGTGACTCTTGCCTTCTCTTTTTCATATAGTTTTAAAGGGATTCTAATAAATAAAACCTTATAAATGGCTAAAATTATGGAAGAAAGAATTTTGTTTGGAAAGCTATTTAATTGAAAAATTTGAAAATATATACTTGTCCTCACTGTAATGTATATTACTGAAAGACATATGAGCAAATTATATGTGTGTCTATTTATATGTTAGTAATAATGTATGTTAATAATGTGGGTAGAGCTTCTGTGAGGGGACAGTTAGGAGAGAAGAGATGAGACATTGTAAATCACATTTTAGCAGATTAACACTTTCAGTTTGAGCTCTTCCTCAGTGGTTATTTATTCTCATTTTAACAGTGGTATCTGTGAATGGTATATTGAAAAAAATCATCAGTCCTGGATGACTCAGTTGGAGCCTCATCCTGTACACCAAAAAGTGCCAGGTTTGAGTCCTAGTCAGGGCATATACCCAGGTTGTGGGTTTAATCCCCGCTTGGGGTGCATGCAGGAGGCAACTGATCAAAATTTCTCATATCGTGTTTCTCTTCCTATCTAAAAATTTAAAAAAAGTAAAGGAAGAACAAAAAAAATGATAGAACTAGTATGAAAATCTAAGGGGATAGAACATTTAAAAACACAATTAACCAACTTAACATTTATGAAACACTCCAACCAACAACAGCAAAACATTTACCAAGAGACCATTTTCTGGGCCATTAAACCAACCTTAACAAATTTAAAAGAATTGAAATTATTCAAAATATATTCTCTAACCATAATGGAATTAAATTAGAAATCAGTAACATAAAGAAAGATATCTAGAAAATCCTCAAACAATTGCAAAGTAAACAACACTTTTAAATAACCCAGACTCAAAGAAAAGCAAAATCAAAAATACTTGAACTAACTAGAAATGTAATATAATTTGTAGAAGGAAGCTAAAGCCATGCTTTGATGGAAGTATATAGCATTAAATGCTTATATTATGGGGGGGAAAGTTTCGAATCAGCCATCTAAATTTCTACCACACAAAATTACGAAAAGAGCAAATTAAACCCAAAGATTTCAGAGGAAGAATACAGGTAAATGCAGAAATCAATGAAACAGAAAATAGATAAGTGAAATCAGTGAAACCAAAACTGATTCTTTGAGAAAATGAATGCAGTTGATAGATCTCTAGCCAGACTGGTCAGGATAAAAAAGAGAGAAGACAAAAATTACTAGTAGTAGGCATAAAAGAGGCTACTTCACTACATATCCTATGGATGTTAAAAGGATATAAGGAAATATTAAGAACAACTTCATGCTGATAAATTCAACATTTTAGCTACAATGGACAAATTTCTTTTTAAGCCGGGACTGGTTTGACTCAGTGGATAGAGCATCGGCCTGGGGACTGAAAGGTCCCGGGTTCGATTCCGGTCAAGGGCATGTACCTTGGTTGCGGGCGTATCCCCAGTAGGGGGTGTGCAAGAGGTAGCTGATCGATGATTCTCTCTCATTGATGTTTCTAACTCTCTATCCCTCTCTCTTCCTCTCTGTGAAAAATCAATAAAATATATATATTTTTAAATTTCTTTTTAAATATATTTTACTGATTTTAGAGAGAAAGGAAAAGGGGGAGAGAGAGATAAACATCAATGATGAGAGAGAATCATTGATTGGCTGCCTCCTGCACGCCTCCTACTGGGGATCAAACTCGTAACCCAGGCCTGTGCCCTTGACCAGACTCAAACCTGGGAACCTTCAGTCTGCAGGCTGAAGCTCTATCCATTGAGCCAAATCAGTTACGGCAATGGACAAATTTCTTGAGAAAAAAATAAATGTATGATTCATTGATTATAGTACATTTTGGCATCATAAACTTTATATTATTTGGAATTTCATAGAATTTTTTACACTAAAGGGTTAAATAATTTCATTTTGCTTCTCCTGTGTGCTCAGAAACTAATAATTACTATCTAGAATTAGATGTCTTATATACAGACATGGAAGATACTTCCATAAATATTTATTGTGTAAATCAAATATAGTTGAAATGTTATGAAATGTATTTTAATCTATTCAAGGCAACAACTACTCCAGTTTTCTTTTTAAAAAATCTTTATTGTTCAGATTATTACATTTGTTCCTCTTCCCCCGCCCCATAGATCCCCTCCACCCAGTTCCCATCCCACCCCATGCTCTTACCCTCCATCCCCACAGTTCTCATCCATAGGTGTATGATTTTTGTCCAGTCTCTGCCCGCACTCCCCACACCCCTTTCCCACCGAGGATTGTCAGTTCACTCCTTTTCTATTCCCCAATTCTATTATATTCACCAGTTTATTTTGTACGTCAGATTTTTTATTCACTTTATTTTTAGATTCACTTGTTGATAGATAATGTATTTGTTGTTCATAATTTTTATCTTTATCTTTTTCTTTTTCTTAAAGAATATCCTTCAGCATTTCATATAATTCTGGTTTGGTGGTGATGAACTCCTTTAGCTTTTTTTTTTTTTTTTTTTTTTTTTTGTCTGTGAAGCTCTTTATCTGCCCTTCAATTCTGAATGACAGCTTTGCTGGGTAGAGTAATCTTGGTTGTAGGTTCTTGCCACTCCCATCTAGCCTGCATAGTTTCTGTTGAGAAATCAGCTGATAATCATATGGGTGCTCCCTTGTAGGTAACTAACTGTTTTTCTCTTGCTGTTTGTAAGATTCTCTCTTTGTCTTTTGCTCTTGGCATTTTAATTATGATGTGTTTGGTGTGGTCCTCTTTGCATTCTTTTTGTTTGGGGTTCTCTGTGCTTCCTGGACTTATAAGTCTATTTCTTTCACCAGGTGGGGTAAGTTTTCTGTCATTATTTCTTCAAATAGGTTTTCAATATCTTGCTCTCTCTCTTCTTCTGGCACGCCCATAATTTGGATGTTGGTATACTTGAAGTTGTCCCAGAGGTTCCTTACACTATCTTCATATTTTTGTATTTTTTTTCTTTTCCAGTTGGGTGATTTTGCTTCTTTGTATTTCAAATCTTTTACTTGATTTTTGCGATCCTCTAGTCTGCTGTATATTATTCTTTATTTCAGTCAGTGCATGCTTAATTTATAATAGGTCCTTTTTTATATCCTCAAGGCTCTCACTAAATTTATCAGCAGTTTCTAGAAAATTCTTGAAAAATCTTATAAAAAAACCTGGTTTTGAACTCTATATCCTTAATTTCTTTCATTTGTGGCCCGTTTCTGTGTATCTGCATTTTGGCTGCTTCCCTGTGTTGATAGAGTGGCTTTGTGTGCTAGGTGTCCTATAGGGCCCAGTGGCTCAGCCTCCCCAGTTACCTGAGGTGGACACTCTTGGTGCACCCCTTTGTGGGCAGTATGCACAGTCTTGTTGTAGTTAAGCCTTGATTGTTGTTGGTATCACTGGGAGGAATTGACCTCCAGGCCTATTGTCTGTGAGAATCAGCTTTGTCTACAGTGGGAGCACTTCTGTGCTGGAGACACCCTTATGAGGCAAGACTTGCTTCAGTGGGGCTTTTGGTGCTCACTGAGTCTGCCCCCTGGGTTTGTCCCATTTGGATCTGAGGAGTTGTAATCTGGATGGTCCCACTCTGACTACTGGGTACACTGGCTCTTGGATCTCCAAGGAGGTGTAAAGTCAGCCACTGCCTGAGGTCACTCAGCAGGCGCAATGGAGAGATCTGCAGATTCCTCTTCTTTGTTTGGGGTTTGAAGGTGCCCAGAGGAGCCCCAGCTGTGAAACAATGCAAGCTGTTGTGGGGCCTTAGGCCTTCTTTTATATGTTCTGGGTCTCTCTGTCTCAGCTGCAGTTTATTAGGTAATTTTAGATTTCAAAGGATCAGGCCATTCATATGCAAAAGCCTCTGCACACAGGTTGGGTGGGGTGGGGTCTCAGGGCGGAACAAACAGCAATTGCTTCCCATCAGCCCTGCCCTAAGAGGCCCCTGGGTCTCAGTTTCCTGAGATAATCACTGCAAGCACCTCTGAGAGAAAGCCGCCTTCGAGTTCCACCCGATGCCAGACAGTCCATTTTCTCCCTGTATGAGTCTGGGTCCCCAGAGTCTTGTTCAGAACTGGAGTTCAGAGCAGTTGGGAGCTTGTGTCTTCCTTTGGATTGAAAAAGTCAGCTGAGTACTCAGCTGCCAGCCCTTTCCATGTGCGCGCCTCCATACCTCTGCACTTTACCTCCGCAGCTCCTCTGAGTCTCAGTGTGCTTTTCTATTTCCTTCTAGATGTAGACTTTCCACTTAGCCAGCCTTCCTGTGGTTCTGGATGATGTCCGTTTTATCTTTTAGTTATAGTTGTGCGAGGCAGCAAGTTCAGGTATTTACCTATGCCACTATCTTGGTTTCTCCTTCACAACTACTCCAGTTTTACTCTTTCGTTAAGACTTATATTACATTTCTATGGGAGGTGATCAATTATTCAGCGTTAAGTCAGAGGCAGACAGTATATTAACTAAGAACATGTATCCTAAAAGCAAAAGCTTTGTATGAGTATAAGTTATGACCTTGGGCAAGATTGTAACTCCTTTGTTTTCATATGGGATAATAATAATAGTTCTTATCTCACAGATTGTTGTGAGGATTAAAAATAACAATGTGATTACAACCCTTAACATAGTGCCTGAAACCATATTAAGCATTTAGATCACACGTGTCAAACACAAGGCCCGCGGGCCAAATCCGTCCCGCCAGGCCTTGCAATGTGGCCCGCACCGCGCTGTCATCACTGCATTCCGCTGCGTTTCCATCACAGTGACAGTTTATGACTGTTCAGTAAACCATTCGGCCTGCGATTTAGGCTGGATTTTAGATTTTGGCCCCTTCTCTGATTGAGTTCGACACCCCTAATTTAGATGATTACTGCTGGCATTTAATTTTTATTTTTGCACAAATGACATAATAGACCCTCCTAGTATATTAGAAGGGAAAATAGGTTGGTACACAGAAATAGTGAATTAGGTTCTCTAAAAAGGAGATGACAAAAAGAACATACTTATATTGGCAATTTTGGAAAAAATTAGATGGAAAAAGAAAATTGCATCTTTTTTAAGGTGCAGTGGAATGCCAAGTGTGGTTAAGGAAAGGATTTAAAGACTTGCAGAAGAGGAATTCAGCCTCTCCATTTTTCCCCCCAGTTTTTCTCATTTTTTTCAATTTTAACACTTTTTCTCCAAAGATAAATTTAGATTTACAGAAGAGTTACAAGAGAGTATAGAGAGTTCCTGGATACCTTTCATTCAGCCTCCCAGTATGTTAATATCTTACATAACAGTGGAGCATTTACCAAACCTAAAAAACTAACCTTGATTTAATACTACTAACTAAAAAATAGAACTTTTTTCAGTTTCAACAGTTTTCCCACTGATAACCATTTTCCTGTTCCAGTATCCAATTGAGTATCTTCATTGCATTGAGTTCTTGTCCTTCCTACCTTGACTCTTCTGAAGGAAGAGTTGTTGCTTCTCTCCTATTTATTTATATCAGTACTAGAGGTCTGGTGCATGAAATTCATGCACTCGAAGTGGGGGGGGGGGTCCCCCCAGTCTGGCCTGTGCCCTTTCAGTGTGGAAGCCCCGCGATTGATAGCCCCAAAGAGGTAGGCTGGAGTCAGGGGTTCCACTTCCGCGGTGGGTGCAGGGCCATGGGAACCCCGTCTCCACTGTGCACATGGCCATCTTGTGACAGCGTGAGGGCATTTTGTGATGGCCTGATGGTGTGAGGACCACCTAAGCTTGTATTAGTAAGATGGGTTCATGAATATTTTATCATTTGATTCAACATGATTACTTTTAACTTTTTTGCTCAAGTTGATCCAGTTTTGGCCGTTAGGTGATCTTTCAGGTGGGCTCCTATGCCCTTTGAATATGCCCTGTTTTTTTTTGTTTGTTTGTTTTTTTCCTAAAGCACTTTCTTTGTAGAATAACAAGATGCCCCAGGCTTTTTTTTTTTTTTTTACCTATCCTAACCTTGGGGTCAACCACTAAGTTCTTCATTGAGTCCTAATACTTTATATTGGAGGATTATATTTAGAAACCAAGTTTTGGTATGTTTATTGCTACTGAGGTATCTGCCTCTCAATGGATAGAGTTAGAAAAATAAAAACATGTATACTAACTCATGCATAAGCATATTGATTAGTGTGCATGTGTATATTTATAAATTTTAAAAACTATTAGTCCATATGGATATTTCCAACTCTACTTCTCTTTATTTTTAATCTGCACATTTTTAATGAGGGAGCTTTTTAAAATCTTAATAATGAAAACTTTACATACAGTAAAAATTTCAGACAGACGACTGCTATTGCAAGTTCTTAAGTATCCAGCCAGGAATACTTTTCCTTTTATTCCGGGAACATGCTGACACTTTCTGCTCCATACTTTTTTCATCTAATCAGATATTTTGAAGGCCATTGTTGACAGAGAAGAACCTGTTTCTGAGTTCAGACTTTATAGGTTGGAACCTGCATGAGATGTGGAAGAGTAAGAACTAGGAAAGAAATAAAAATTCTGAGAGCTTCAGATGTTTCTTGTTGCCTTAAACCCATGTTTGCATGGATTTAAAGAAAAACTTGTTCAGAGATTTTAAGGGCAAAACTAAGCCTATACTCCATGTCATTTTGGGAATCCTATATAATATGCTAATTAGACTGAACAGCAGAACGACCTTCAGGACGAAGCCGGGGCTGTGAGGGCTGAGGCAGCAGCCAGGGTGTTGCGAGGGCCTACCCTTGCTTGAATTTCGTGCATTGAGACTCTAGTAGACTAATAAGTGAGATTGTCATTGAACTCTGGATGGTTAGGAGCATTTCTCCCTCAGCTGCCTTCTCCCCCACATACTTCTTCTATGAGTAAAATAGTACATCATACCAAACTCATGAAATGATACCAGACCAACATAACTGAAACTATGAAGACTATCTGATATATCAGATTTTAGATATAAATAAAAGATATATTGCTATATATCTGGATATTTATGTCCATCTCAGGAATGAAGAAATTAAATTAAAAGGCTAGAATTTTGCATCTACTTCTAAATTAATTTTGTAAAGAAACCAACTAGCCAAAACCAGTTTGGCTCAGTGGATAGAGCGTCAGTCCGGGTTCGATTCCAGTCAGGGGCATGTACCTTGGTTGCGGGCACATCCCTTTTGGGGGGGCGGGGGGGGACAGGAGGCGGCTGATAGATGTCTCTCTTTCATTGATGTTTCTAACTCTCTATCCTCCCTTTCTCTCTGTAAAAAATCAATAAAATATATTTAAAAAACAAACCAACTATACTTTTTTTCCTTCTTGAATTTGATAGTTTGCTGTTTTACAAGTTTTCCTTAATAGGATATAAATATTATTAATGATTTTAGCATTTGGTCTTTTGTGTAATGAAACTTCCCCCGCCTCCACGCCAGCTTCTTACTTCCTGTGCTTGTGGTTTTGCAGGGTTGCTTGATTCTGAGTGATGAACTGAACCATGCGTCACTGGTTCTGGGAGCCCGGCTGTCAGGAGCAACCATTCGAGTCTTCAAACACAACAGTGAGTTTGTTGTGGAGGCCTTAGTGATTGGTATTCTTTGGATTAATGGCAGTGGTTATATTAATAATAGAAAATATAAATGAAGATAGCAACATTTAAAATGTTTTTTCTGAGCCCTGGCCAGATAGCTTAGTTGGTGAGAGTGTCATTCGGATACACCAAGATTATGGGTTTGATTCTCCAGTCAGGGTACATACAAGAATGGGAACAACAAATCTCTCTCTCTCCCTCCCGCCCTCCCTTCTTCCTTTGAAAGCCATAACTTCCTAAATGGAAATATGTTTATGTATTATTACAATATTTATTTGCAATAAAAATACATAACTTTTGTAGTTAAAACATGTAGAGAAGAAAGATTACCAAACTGTATTTTTAATATCATCTTTTACCAAAGTGAGTACACCTACAAATAAGTCTAGAAGAATATACACCAAAATAGTAGGTCTGTGCTCCTGGTTGGACGGTTAGAGATGGTAATAACTTTCTGCCTTTTGTCTTTGTCCTATCTAAACTGTTTTACAATAAGAATGATGCAAATAGCATTTTGCTTTATGTAAATGGGGCTTATTAAACACCACTGTGGAACCTGCTCTTTTCTTACAACACATCGTGAACTTTGGCAATACATGTGACTCTCCTCCTCCCCTAATGTCAGGGTGGCAGGCAGTGCTAGAAGCGCCCTTATTCAGATTGTCTCTCAGTTTGGACATCGAGGTTGTTTCTAAAATTTTCTACTAGAAATGGTACTACCTGTTACCCACATTTTTGCTCAATGTTGTGATTAGTGCCTTAGGATGAATTCCTAGCAGTCTTAGAATGCCTGGTTAAAAGGGCACAAATATTTTTGTACTTTTCCAAATTGCCTCCAAGCAGACTTTTACTCAGCAACATGACAGTGACTCACACCAACTTAGGCCATTATGAAACATTTTAAAACTTCCCTTCTCCAATAATCAACAACATGTTAATTTTTTTCTTTAATTACTAGGTGTCAAGCAACTTTGTATATAGTATTGTGTTTGGATTTCTTTGTAAATTTGCCATTTTCAAATGGCTTCTTTTTTTTTTCTGATTATAAGAGCCCTTCCTATTTTCTTTGATGTTGCATTATTTTTAATGTTACTTTTAACTTTGTTTTTAGTTTCTTGCTCTGCTGACTTATTAAAATGCTTATGATGTCACATTTATTGTCTTACAACTTGATTTTGTGTTAATGCCTTCCATATTCTAAGATAATAGGGTTATTCTCTTATTTTCTTCTGGTAGTTTTGTTTTTCATTTACATCTTTATTTTTGTTTTTCACTTACATCTTTATTCTTACATGGGATTTGTGAAGTATAATATAAGAGAGATAGTAGATTCCCCCCACCTAAGTTGATAATATGGTTAAGCATTCTACTATAGATATTTCCTTTCATCTAAAATTTTGAATCAGTATTTATTTTTTCTCCTCTTTTCTGTATGTAAACAGAGGAAACTAAAACAATGACTATATTTTTACTGGCTTTTGCTGATTGCCAGATGCTGCCCTCTGCAGCAGGACTAGCCGCTTCAACATTTCCGGGACAGCATCTCCTGTCTCTGAGTCAGATAGCAGACAGATTGTGTTCTTGTAACTGAAGGTGTCACCGCAACACAGTCTATGGCCATATTATCTGTGTTTGTGATGTTTTTATTATTTCTCTTTTCTACTGATTCCTTTCTATGAAAAGAGCAAAATCATGTAACTTTTAATGCCCTCCTTCAGTGAGGAGCAATAAAGACTATACAATTAGATTTTATGATGGCATGTCTCCCACCCTTGTTAAATATACTGCAGGGGTTTTTTTTGGGTTTTTTGGTTTTTTTGGAGCGGGCTTTCTTAAGGGCAGTGCTTCAGAGCAAACAAATTTAAATATGAAGTTGATAGTGGTGGCAAAAATGGTCTTCAAAACATTTATCTTTAACAGGGAAATTATTACCCTCATTAGTGTTAGTACTAGCCATACTGTTTTCTAGACCTGTTAACCATCTTCAGAACTGATAGAGCCACAAGAACTTGGTTGTGTACAGATAGCAGATCAAATCAAACAGAAACAATTGCCAAGCTTGCTTAACACAGATTCATGCATTCAGGAATTTATTCTATAGCACTAACCAGACTACTGTATTTTTAACCCACTACTAAGATAAAATTATTTAACAAACATTTATCAGATATATCTTCTGTAAAGGAAATAAGCATGTTCTTTGAAGTTTTTCCTCATTGATTTTTAGGAGATATATATATTTATAGTGATTTTCATAGTCTTGCTCAGTCTTCTTTATTATTTCTGAATGACTCACTAGGATTAAAGATATAGTTGACTTTATTTTTTTTTTTTATATTGGGTCTTTGTCAGATAATACTTTTTCTTTCTTTTTTTCTTTTTTTTTTTTTTTTAAATATATTGATTTTTTTACAGAGAGGAAGAGAGAGGGATAGAGAGTTAGAAACATCGATGAGAGAAAATCATCGATCAGCTGCCTCTTCCACACCCCCTACTGGGGATGTGCCCACAACCAAGGTACATGCCCTTGACCGGAATCGAATCTGGGACCTTTCAGTCCGCAGGCCGATGCTCTATCCACTGAGCCAAACTGGTTTCGGCTATAGTTGACTTTATAAATATAAAAAAAGCTAACTGAATGGCCAGGTATTTAACATGAAACATTGGTCATTTCATAAGCCTGCTAACCACCTGACTCAACTGTGCCACAGTCATTTGTTGAGTTTCTGTGACTTTGAACATTTGTTGCATTTCAGATGAGATTTTAATTAAAGATAGCAGTAGCTCACTCATTTTGCCCCATCTTTTTCTGCCCTGTTCTGACTTTGTTAATGTCCTTTGCTGTCTGAGACACTGTTCCTAAATAAGAAATGTTTATTTTTATTTCTGGAATAAAGTTAGGAAAGAAGAAGGTACTTTACGCTGACATATTTTTGTGTGTGCTATAGACATGCAGAGCCTAGAGAAGCTACTGAAAGATGCCATTGTTTATGGTCAGCCTCGGACACGAAGACCCTGGAAGAAGATTCTAATCCTTGTGGAGGGAATATATAGGTAATCCTGCTTTATGATTCTAATCTTTCCGATTTGGCTCCATGAAATCTTAGAATTTTTCAGCCTCACTTCATTTTCTTCATATATATATATATACACACACACACACACACACACACACACACATTTTTTTTTTGGAAGTCACGTCAAATAACTTCCAAAAATCGAACCTGTGATTTTTCAGTCCGCAGGCAGACGCTCTATCGACCGAGCCAAACCGGTCAGGGCCTCACTTCATTTTCAAGGAACACTAATTAGACTACTCTGGAAACTAAGGAGACAGTGTTTTTGACTTGTTAAATTACCTGGAAGCAGAGTTAGCTCTAGGACAGAAGTCTTTTTGTCTGGCTTTTAATCTTTCCATCATGCTACATGATCCTCAAATATCCCTTCTATTTGGATTCTTTGTTTTTCTGTTTGTAGAGGGAATTTGTTTATAGGTCAGTAATTAAAATACATTTTCTAATATGTCAAAACAAGTTATACAGATTTTAATGTTAAGAAATTTTTATTTTATCTGCAGCCCTTTCACTTATTTTCTTACCTCCTAATGTTTTTTAATTCTTTCTGTAGAATTTTAATTGCATACCTACGTGATGCAGCGTCTAATGTTGCCTATAATTACAAGCTTTAGAAGAATCTGCTGTGACTTTTATTCCTCTGTAGTGAATTAAGATTAATTGTGTTCTGGTACTTGTTTTAAAAGATTGTCTAGCCGCCGAAACCGGTTTGGCTCAGTGGATAGAGCATCAGCCTGCGGACTGAAAGGTCCCAGGTTCGATTCCGGTCAAGAGCATGTACTTTGGTTGCGGGCACATCCCCAATGGGGTGTGTACAAGAGGCAGCTGATCAATGATTCTCTCTCATTGATGTTTTTAACTCTCTATCCCTCTCTCTTCCTCTCTGTAAAAAAAAATCAATTAAATATATTAAAAAATTAAAAATCGTCTAGCCATGGCATCATTTGAATTTGCCAGTTTAAAACCACAGACAGTTGTTAGATTATTTCAAAAAGCAGTAAAATCAGAAATTAATAAAGTGGCCCGCTCCTGATTTTGAGAGTTAAGAAGTCTCAGTGTATGTATTGTTTTACTCTGTTTTGCCAGCATGGAGGGATCCATTGTTCGCCTTCCTGAGGTGATTGCCCTTAAGAAGAAATACAAGGCATACCTGTATCTTGATGAAGCCCACAGCATCGGGGCTCTGGGCCCTGCGGGGCGAGGTGTGGTAGATTACTTTGGCCTGGATCCTGAGGATGTGGACATTATGATGGGAACATTTACCAAGAGCTTTGGTGCTTCTGGAGGATACATTGGTGGAAAGAAGGTAAATGGGCTGTGATTATTGAGCAGTTAAGAATAAAGGCACTGACTTTTATGGTTGCTAAGTCACGTCAAATAACTTCCAAACTGGGTGCGGAGATCCTGAATTTGTGGCTTAGGCTCATGGTGCCAGCGAGTTCACACTTCAGCTGCCTGGTGAGTGACTGAGGCATTGAAGGCTGGTTCTGTTCATTGTTTGTTGTTTTCTTCTTTGAGCTTCGTTCTAAACTACATGCTGGTTTGAGATATAGAATACCCTCTTGTATAAAAGAACACACAGTGGTGCTGCCTGTTCGCCACACTCTTGCTGGGTTTGAATTGTGCTCACAGTTTCGAGTAGTGGGGTTATCATGGGAGCCGATGGGAATAAAAGACAAGTTCCCTTAGGTGAACATAAAGTCAGGAAGAAAAAAAGATTATTTTGTTAGTGCTGGTGTATAATAAGGCTTTGTTTTTTGTTTTGTGGGTTTGTGTGTGTGTTTTGTATTTTGTTTTTTCAATTTAAAAATCATATTCTGACCTCTAAGGCATTTGAAGTGTGTGGTATGGTAGAAATGTTTGAACCATGGAGACAGAGGCCTGGGTTTGATTATTTAACTTTGTGAGACCTTGGTCAGAGCATTTAACTTTTCAGTTTCCTTATCAGTAAAACAGAGATAAATATGCTGGCTTATAAGATTGTAGTAAGGGTTTAAGAAATAATAATGTATGTCCATGCTGCAATATGGATGAACCTTATGTTAAGTTAAAGAAGGAAGTCACAATAGGTCACACATTATATTATTTCTTCAATATGCTTTATCCAGAATAGGCAGATCATAGAGATAGAAAGTAAGTTGGTGGTTGCTAGAGGTTGAGGAGCTGGGGGAAGTAGAAAGTGACTGCTAATGGGTGTGAAGTTTCTTTTTGAGGTAATGAAAATGTTCTAAAATTAGGTAGTGATGAAAGTTGTATAGTTCTGTGAATATACTAAAAAACACTGAATTGTACACTTTTAAAAAGGGAATACTATCATATAGGAATTACATCTCATTAAAACTGTTACTTTGCCCTGGCCAGTTTGGCTCAGTGGACATAGTATCGGCCTGCAGACTGAAGGGTGCCAGGTTTGATTCCAGTCAAGGGCACATACCTAGGTTGCAGGTTTGATTCTCCCTGGCATGATCAGAGCTCCGCAGCAACCAATTGAAGTGTCTCTCTCGCATCAGATTTTCTCTCTCCGCTCTCCCCTTCCCTTCCACTCTCTTTAAAAATCAATGGACAGCCGAAACTGGTTTGGCTCAGTGGTAGAGCGTCGGTCTGCGGACCGAAGGGTCCCGGGTTCGATTCCGGTTAAGGGCATGTACATTGGTTGCGGGCACATCCCCGGTAGGTGCAATGATGTTTCTCTCTCATTGACGTTTCTAGCTCTCTATCTCTCTCCCTTCCTCTCTGTAAAAAATCAATAAAATATATTTTAAAAAAACAAAAATAAATAAAAATCAATGGACAAATATCTTCAGGTAAAGATTAAGAAAAAAACAAACAAACAAACAAAAACAAACCCTCTTACTTTAAAAAACTGCAATTTTAGGGAAAAAACCAGTGTGTGTTAAGTATTTGTATATGGCATATACTAGTAGTAGGCAATCATAGATTTCTTTAATTCCTCTTTAATATTTTGGAAATTTTAAAGTGTAGACTTTCTCTTTTAAAAAAAATATATTTTATTGATTTTTTACAGAGAGGAAGAGAGAGATAGAGAGTTAGAAACATCAATGAGAAACATCGATCAGCTGCCTCCTGCACACCCCCAATGGGGATGGGCCCACAGCCAAGGTACGTGCCCTTGACCGGAATCAAACCTAGGACCCTTCAGTCCGCAGGCTGACGTTCTGTCCACTGAGCATCATACTTAATAATTGATTGCCCTTTAGAGAAAATCCATTATCAGTGGGTTTAGTCAAGTTTGGTAGATTTTTTATCTTGAAGTTTTAAAAATAATACATTTTATTGATTTTACACAGAGAGGAATTGAGAGGGACAGAGAGTTAGAAACATCGATGAAAGAAAAACACCGACCAGCTGCCTCTTGCACCACCCCCTCCCCCCCTCTGGGGATGTGCCCGCAACCAAGGTACATGCCCTTGACTGGAATCGAACCCAGGACCGTTCAGTCCGCAGGCCGACGCTCTATCCCCTGAGCCAAACCGGTCCCGGCTATCTTGAATTTTGTTAATGGGATCAGGCTACTTTGGAGAATTGATTGCCTTTTGGTGAGATTTATTGCTAAATCAGAGGACAGACAATAATACTCTGGGAGATATTTTAGGTACATTATATTTATTGTGGGTTTTACACAATTTTGCGTATTTTTGAAGTGATACACTGTAAGAAAAAAAAAGCCACATTATGTATTTTCTTGTTTCTGGTACATAAGCTTTTTGTGTGAATGTTTAAAGACTTAGTGAAGTTAGAAGGTATCAGAGATTGGGGATAGACAACTGATTGCTTTGAAAACCTTGTATCTGACAGACAAGGTTTTTCTTTATTCTTTATCGCAGGCTTTAGTGTTCTGTGAAAGACCCAGTGAATTTCTGGCACATAAAATTTTATAAATATCTGTGTGGAGGATATTGAATGCCTTTAAAATTGATTTAGAGAGTTGCCTTTCTCTGATTTAGGAGTGTAAGGAGGGCTTTGCAGATGTGGGGTAAGATGCAGATGATATTTTCTGTAATACTTAAAACACTTGTCCAAAAGGAATTAAACACTTTCTTGTTTAATTTTGCAATGTAGATCTATTTATATAATTAAGTAATAACGCTTTCCAAATTTAGAGGGGTTCTTTAAAACTAGTTCCTCATTCTGTGTGGCAGGTTGAAAATATAAAACAAAGCGTCCAACCCAGTTGGTTGCCCTTGCCTATCAGATTAGTGTCCATATTCCAGTGTGCTGAAGGGAGGAGGAGCCTGCTTCCTCCTGGAAGGGAGGCAGTGACATTGCCAGTGAACTCAGACATTGCCTCTGATGCCTTGCTTCTGTGAACTCCCCAGGAGCTGATAGACTATCTGCGAACACATTCTCATAGTGCAGTGTATGCCACGTCACTGTCACCACCTGTTGTGCAGCAGATCATCACCTCGATGGAGTGCATCATGGGGAAGGATGGCACCACCCTTGGTGAGTTGTTCTTTCCTTAGAAAGTGTCCTGGGCTCCGTAAATACTGAGCAACCAAACAGGTTTGTTGTAGAGCTTTTTTCCAAAAATGAGTTGCTAGGTACCCTAATCAGCAAGCTGGCAGGTCTATGGAAACTTCAGTGTTTGATATATATGCCATGAGAACTAGTCTGGCTTGCTTCCTGTTGAATTTTATTCTCTGTTGGTGGTGAGACTTCAATATAACAATCCTCCCTACCCTTATAAATCACAGGTAATAAGCCTTTATAGTCTTTCTTGAATTGCACAATTTTATGTGAAAATAGAATTCACTATTTAGTGATATTTCATTCCCATGGTGTTTAAAAGCTGCTGTTTTTATGAATTAGTGTCCTTGATTTGGTGCCTTGAAAAGAATTTATAATTTAACATACAGTAGCTAATATAGTTCATCCTAAATTTGTTTATTCTTTCTTTGGTGGAATTTGTAGATTAGGTGCCCTAACTTAAAATACTGAAATGAACATCAGGTGTGACGTTTGCTTTCAGTAGTTCACTTTTATTCTGCATCACTAGGGGGCAGTGTTAACTGCAAAAAAGTTACAGTGAAAGGGGAGCAGGTGGAATTTTGTTCTGTTTTTTCACTTTTAAAAGTATTTTCATTAACTATACATTAATTGTACATGTTTTTTTAATGCTTCTAAATTAATTTTTACTGTCATAAAAGATCTCACATTCTCAGCCTTGAGCTCTAGACTTTTTAGTTAAATAACACTGTGGTAAGATTAATTTGGTTTGCATTGAAAAACAAGAAAGAAGTGATATGTTTGATTTTGATTAACTTAAACCTGTTTTCTTAAGTCATAATTTTACCTTAATATTACTTCTGATCTGTGGTACATCCTTGTTATCTCTAGTGAGAGTTTTTGGAAATACATTTTCGAAGTGTTGATCATTTTCAATTTCAATGAATTGATTCCCTGGAGAAAAAACATTTCATTAATGTTGTGAACATAACATGAAGTCTTGAGCATAGCCCCCTCTCAACAGTCATAATGTTATCTTCTCTCCTCCCCACATGGTGTTATTGAAATAGTGTGCTTTGATCTGAGATATACCTAGCTAGCTATATAGCTAGCACACATAGGTGCATCAACCTTATTGATTCAGCAGACAGCTTTAGACAATTTAAAAAAATGGGCGGCTAACAATTATCAAAGTTAACTTTGGATAATTTATTTACCCTACCCCAGAGCGTGAATTTGTGTGATGCATGACCTCTAGATAAGGATAAGTGATTATCTGTACTAAATAATGAAATCTAGGTGGTGAGAAAATGAAATATGGTAACAAGATAGACTTTGGGTTATCATTTATTTTCCAGTTTATCTATTGCCTCTCTAACCCCCCCTAAGCTTAGTGGCGTGAAACAACAGCCACCTTATTATGCTCACAGATTCTGCGGGTCAGGAATTCGGTCAGAACACAGCAGGGTTGGCTTGTCTTTGCTCCACAATATCTGGGGCTTAAGCTTGAGTCTAACCTGGGCTCGAGTGACTAGAAGGCTGGGCCCAGCTGAGGCTCTTGACCAGAACACCTTCATATGTCCTCACCATGTGGCATTGGTTCATAGCATGATGACTAAGGTATCCAGAGAGGATGCGTCAGCAAACAAGTGATCCAAGGAACCTGCTGCAACCTTGTGACCTTTTCCGATCTGTTGTAATGGGCAGGTGACTAAGGCCAGCCCAGATTGCAGGACATGGGAAATAACACTCCATCTCAAATGGGAGGTGGGTCAAAGAATTTATGGCCCTTTAAAAAAATTGCCACTACTAGCTTTTAAATAATATATTTTTAAAATTACTCCCTAAAGCTTTTCTTCATTTTTGACACTATTATTTTGTCCCCCTTTACCCTCCTTCACCCAGCCTCCACCCTCCTCACTAAAATTTTAAATTATTATGACAAACTTCTGTTGCCTTACATTGTTACTCTGCCAAAATACAGGATAATAAAAATCTAACCAAAAGTAGACTTAGATACCATTTTTCTTAAAGACTTTTAACTGATTTTAATTAATTTGGCCTAATTTATTTTAGATTTGAGTGCATTAAGGTAATGTTTATTTTTATGGCAGCACTGAAAGCATCTTTTTTATTGTCCTTATAGAAAAAGAGCTGTGAACCATGCAAGAACCTCTTTACTATGTCTTAAGGTGGCCTTGAAAAGAGGCATCTCCAGTTAATTACCTGAGTGTGATTTTATAATAGGATGGCCTGCTTTAAGAGAAATTTAATCTCTGGCGTTCAGTACATGGCATTTCATCGATCTCACAAACGCTGAGTATCTCACTACATGTTAGACTGTGTGAATTAGAATCCATAGGAAATAGGCATATAAGGAGATCATTTAAGTGAAGTATATATGTGGGGAGTATTGGGGATGCATGGGATAGTGGTTGTTAGTACCAGAGACTAGTGCTGCATAGAAAAATTGAAGTTTTATTAATCATAACACATGCTGTGTGTTAGCAAGTGGTAAGTACTCTGGGAAAAAGGTAAGCCAGGAAGACGGGCAATCAGGGGTTCTGGGGACCCAGTTTGCAATTTTAAATAAGGTGGTCATTGAAAAGGTAGGATTTTAGCAAGGACTTTAAGGAGGGGAAGCTTTAGCCCTGAAAATCCAGGGATATAAGGCCCTCAGGTGGAGGCCTGAGGTAATGAAAATGTTTGATGCTTTTATTTTGTGTTTAGGAATAGCAAGGAAGCTACTACGGCCAGAGAATAATAGTACAGGTAGAAAGAATGAATGACTGGGTGAGTAGAGTGAGGTGAGGATAGAGGCTGTGCAGAGTGTAGAAGTTCCAGCAGGGGGCAGTCTTATCTTATAAAAGTATTGGGTTGATACAAAAACAGACACATTTTTGGTAGTACAAGGATGAGTGTAATAAAATATTAGAATAATGCTGTTACAGAAAGATGGAGACTTCACCAAAAATGAGCTTTCAGTTAATAGGCAATATTATTGGGCAGAAACACTAAAAGCCCACTGGTCAGTCAGAGTAGATAGGCTAGGGATTTCATTGTATTATGTATGAAAGTATGAGTTTATACCAAAGATGAATGTATGAAAGGTGACTAACACTTCACTAAATTTTTTCAAAGTATATGTCATCCCCCCCTATCAGATTATAAATTCTCTGAGGGCAGGGACCCATGTCTTGCTCCTTTTTTTTTTTTATCCTCAAAAAAGGATATTCTTTCCATTGATTTTTTTTTTTTTTTTTTTTTTTTTGAGAGAGTGAAAGAGGGGAAAGACAGAGAGAGAAACATCGATTTGAGAGAGACACACAGATTGGTTCTTTTCCACACTCACTGTGACCTGAGCTAGAGATCCAGCCTCCAACTGAGATTTATGCACTTGATTGGAATCAAAACCAGAACCCTTCAATCCACAGACCAACACTCTATTCACTGAGCCAAACTGGCCAGGGCTCCTTTGTATCTTAAATAGTGCTTATTTCAAGACCCTTAGAGTCAATAATTGTTTGACTTCATTTTTCTCAAAATTATTATCTCTCTTCCCCAAGTAGAATGAAAACAGGGAGTTTTGGCCACCTTTTGTTTTTCTGTTTAGAGCTGTGTTTGGCACATAGTAGGCATGCAGTAAATACTTGGTGAATGATTAAATGAATAATCTTTTGGTGCCTTGAAGAGAGGCAATTATGACTTAGTTACCTATGATTTAGTTCTTTATTATATTCTTAAACTCTGAGAAGGTAAGAATTCTGTACACCTAAAGAGGATAACATTAATCATTCATTCTTTCAGGATTATTTCTGAATTGAAGCCTCATGTATACTGACCAATGTGACATAGGAAAAAATATATGATCATAGATTTATGATTAATAATTTGTTTTTTAATATAAATGCAATATTTAATTTGATGCTGTTACAGATTTTCTCTTGGTGAGAAAATCTTCATACTTTTATGATACAGTTCGCTTGGCCTTTACTATCTTAGCCAGGTCCTCTTGTAACCAGAAGCATTCATTTATAAGTTAGGTTTCAGAGCCAGGGAAGCATTTGCTCCATTTTAACTTGCAGATTCTGTATCTCATTAATGATATAGATATGGAAACTAACTCTTGGAAAGGTAAAATAAAAAATCTTGACAATGTAAAAGTAGCCACAAGAGGGCTGGAGATGTAGAAAGTAGGGAGAGGAAGTTGAGTCCGTGCAAGTGTGTCGGTTTCTGTCATCATGCTTGTTGGAAAGTCAGTATGTGAAAATAAACAAATCATTTTTTCTGTCATTTTGGACTGCATGACTCGGTAAGTCACATGGCTTACAGCTCCCCTGGGGGCTGCCATCTTAAAGCAGCAAAGGCCGACCCCTCCCTTTGAATTAGCCAATCACGAAAGGCTGTGCACCTGGGCTTTAGTCAAGAGCAAAGGACAGATTTCGTGTGTCAGGGGTTATAAAGCCAAACAGACAACCGAGCAGGTGTGCATGTACATTCAGACCACGTGTGTGCACCCTTCTACGTAAAAGTAAAGATGTTTGCCTTGCTGCTTGGCTCCCAAGTGTATTTTGTATTCTACCAGGACCCCTGACTTGGGGGGCTAGCATTATTTCTAACAATTAGATACTAAATCAAGTTTATAAATAACACATTTTGAAGTTAAGAAATAGTCTTTAAATTTATGAAGTTATGTAATCAGCCATGAGAAGACTTAAAAATAGTAATATTACAAAATAGGTTGTGATTAGTGGAGCCAACATGGAAAGTAATAGAAGTACAAAAACATGTAGGTGGAACAGGATGCAGAAATGTAGGTGTATTGCTCAGCATTGTGGTATTAGCTACCAGAAAAGCCAGAAACCCAACCTGGAGCCACTTCCTGGTCAGAGGGGGAGACTTTTAATTTTTAGTTCATACTCTATACTAGTAGAATTTTATCACGTAGTTAAAACTGTTCTATTTTTAGATTCCAGAGTACATTTATAACATATGGA